ATATATATATATATATGGTGTGTGTGTATGTATACAGTGAGGAAAATAAGTATTTTGAAGTTCTCCCACTTAGACATCATGGAGGAGCCTGAAATTTTCATCTTAGGTGCATGTCCACTGTGAAACATAATCTAAAAATAAATAAATAAATCTGAAAATCACAATGTATGATTTTTTAAAATAATCTATTTGTGTGTTACTGCTGCAAATAAGTATTTGAACATCTCTGAAAATCAATGTTAATATTTGGTACAGTAGCCTTTGTTTGCAATTACAGAGGTCAAACGTTTCCTGTAGTTTTTCACCAGGTTCACTGCAGCAGAGATTTTGACCCATTCCTCCACAAAGATCTTCTCTAGATCAGCCAGGTTTCTGGGCTGTCACTGAGAAACACGGAGTTTGAGCTCCCTTCAAAGATTTTCTGTAGGGTTTAGGTCTGAAGACTGGCCAGTCCACTCCAGAACCTTGATATGCTTCTTACGGAGCCACTCCTTGGTTATCCTGGCTGTGTGCTTCGGGTCATTGGCATGTTGGAAGACCCAGCCACGACCCATCTTCAATGCTCTAACTGAGGGAAGGAGGTTGTTCCCCAAAATCTCGCAATACATGGCCCCGGTCATCCTCTCTTTAACACAATGCAGTCGTCCTGTCCCATGGGCAGAAAAACACCCCCAAAGCATGATGCTTCCACCCCCATGCTTCACAGTAAGGATGGTGTTTTTGGGATGGTACTAATCATTCATCGTCCTCCAAACACGGCAAGTGGAATTAAGACCAAAAAGTTCTATTTTGGTCTCATCTGACCACATAACTTTCTCCCATGACTCCTCTGGATCATCCAAATGGTCATGGGCAAACTTAAGACGGTCCTGGACGTGTGCTGATTTAAGCAGGGGAACCTTCTGTGCCATGCATGATTTTAAACTATGACGTCTTAGTGTATTACCCACAGTAACTTTGGAAACAGTGGTGCCAGCTCTCTTCAGGTCATTGATCGCCTCCTCCCGTGTAGTTCTGGGCTGATTCCTCACCTTTCTTAGGATCATTGAAATGCCACGAGGTGAGATCTTGCATGGAGCCCCAGTCCGAGGGAGATTGACAGTCATGTTTAGCTTCTTCCATTTTCTAATAATTGCTCCAACAGTTGATCTTTTTCACCAAGCTGCTTGGCAATTGCCCCATAGTCCTTTCCAGCCTTGTGGAGGTCTACAATTTTGTCTCTGGTGTCTATGGACAGCTCGAAGGTCTTAGCCATGTTAGTAGTTGGTGTCTTGCTGATTATGTGGGGTGGACAGGTGTCTTTATGCAGCTAACCACCTCAAACAGGTGCTTCTAATTTAGAATAATAAGTGAAGTGGAGGTGGACTTTTTAGAGGCAGACTAACAGGTCTTTGAGGGCCAGAATTGTTGCTGATTGGCAAGTGTTCAAATACTTATTTGCAGCAGTAACACACAAATAAATTATTTAAAAAATCATACATTGTGATTTCTGGATTTTTTTTAATTTTTAGATTATGTCTCTCACAGTGGACATGCACTTAAGATGAACATTTCAGAACCCTCCATGATTTCTAAGTGGGCGAACTTCCAAAGTTGCAGGGTGTTCAAATACTTATTTTCCTCACTGTATATATATATATATATATATATATATATATATATATATATATACGGTATATAAATCCTGTTAATAAACTTTAGTTCACCATCAAATCTCTGATGAACCAGATTCTACAAAAACGTCTATATTTAAAATTTTATAGGTTTTCTTCATCATTTGATGTATTTGCACTCACTGTGTCTACTTTTACTATTCAATTTAGAAATGTGGTTTTGTTTCTTGTTCACACACATATATTTTTATTTTTTAGCTTTGCTTTAAAGTTCTTGTTTTGTGATTTGTACATCTGTGGGTTGGAATAAAGTTGAACTAAAGGCTGTATCTCTCCTTTAAACTTGTTTGAGGGAAATATTCCTGAGAGAGCCAATAATTTTGTGTATTTTTATTTTTTTTCAGCTGACTTAACTTTAACAGATTATTTAATAGCCATTAAAGTGAAAACAGGATTTCATGATAAAGCCGGTACGTTTATTCATTTATTTTTGTAATCTTCACTGATAAATAAAAAAAGTGGTGGAAACATTTTTTACAAACATTTTATGTATAAAAAAAAATGCTTTTTTTTAATACATAAAATTATTATTTTTTTTTTTTCATTTAGCCTTTATTTATCCAGGTTAGTCTCATTGAGCCACGAGAACTCATTTTCAAGAGAGACCTGTTTAGAGAGCACATGGTGGGGGTTAAGGGCCTTGCTCATGGGCCCAGAGTGGGGCGAATGAGGGTGGGGGCAAGTGTGGGTGTTTCACCTACCCCACCCACAATTTTTGATGTTGTCGGGGCTGGGGCGTGAACCGGCGATCTTCGGATCACAAGCCCACCTCTCTAACCTCTGCGCCACCACTCCCCTCCTTAATACATAAAATGTTTGTAAAAATCATTTCCACAGTCCGTCCCAGACCCGTCCCGGTCTGCCTGTCTGCCAGGATTGAGGTTCGGCCTTCATGATTACGGGAGGCTGGGGTCCATGCAACAGCCTCTGCAAGTCAGCAGCTCGTATGATCCTCCATGGTGACTAGCGGAGCTCGGAGCCCGCAGAGCATGCAAGGTCGGGATCTGGAGCCTGAGCCCCGAGTCGACACCACAGAGGATCTTCCGTGGTGACCAGCGGAGCTCGGAGCCGGCGAGATGAGCCCTGCTCGCCCTGGCTCTTAGGCTCCAGGGGAGAGGACTGGGAAGACCAGCAGAGCTCCATCTATCTCGCTCTGAATTTTGTCGTTAGCCACCAAGCACAAAAAATGCTTGCACTTCAGCATTAGACCATGGTGTTGTCATATTTGTTTTTAAAATCTTTTAATTAGGTCCAGCCGCTGCTCCGGGTTCGGAGAAATTACAAATGGCGGATTGGTGTGACAAGTTTCTGCATGATCAAGTGACTCCACCCTGTGACCAATCAGTGACCGACAGTGTCCTGATGTCACGTTTTGTTACCTACTCGGCCCGGTTGGAACCACAGAGCCAGGGGTTTTGAAAAAAGGGCCCTGTTCTACGTACCGTTACTAATGGAAAAGGGGCTTTAGAGGAGTCAAGGTCGAGAGCTTCAAAGCTTTTTGTAACATATTTCAGGAAACAGGAGCAGATTAGGAGAAGGCCCTTTTGCCTCGTTCTGTTCTCACTGAGGGAATACTGCGTGTAATAATGTCCTGAGAGCACATGCTGTAGCTGCACTCACGCAGTGACGTAGAAGGAGATGTATGAAGGCAGCAGACCAAGAAGTGATTTAAAGATGAAAATGTACCAGTGGGAGAGTCTGCGTGAAGTTAATGATGTCTAGTTTATAAATGAATTGTTGAAATAGCTTGAAAACTGCAGGACAAGAATTGGTTCGAAAAATGGATGGAAGAAAAATGGATCACAATAGTATGAATGCTTCATAAGCATTCAAACAATAAAAAACTGACGTAAGAATTTTTTTTATTATTATTGTTATTATTATTAATATTATTTACTTTTTTGGGGGGTTTACCATGACATGATTGACTGAGAATCTTCCCCAGTGTCAGAAAATATTAGCAGTTTGGAAGATGACCAGAATTCAGTAACACTTTCACTTGTACGCTTTGGTATATTTCATTATCACTTGTCAAAATCTATGAGTCTCTTAAAAGTTTCTTAACTCTAAAAGAGTAAACTGTGCTAACCTTTTCATCTTGCTCTGTGAAGGCACCGTCCTCCCCACATTTCTTGTTAATAGCCTGAGCGACTCCAATAACCTGCAGGAAAAGCAGTCATTCAGCACATACAGAACACCCCTATTAGCTGCATTTGATACAAATGTTGAGAAAAATCCAAAGGGATTGAGATAAATGTGGCAAATTCTCAGCAAAAGGGAAGGTTTGTTGACATTCACACATGACGATGGTGTTATTTTACTAGTAATAGTGGCCTTGGCAACCATAGGTAAATCTTTGGCCACCACAATTATTTGAGGAAACTATACTTTTAAGCAAGACTGGGGTCATTTGTTGGTCAGTGTCATGGTTTTGTTATCCTGAGGCTGCAGGTTTGAGCACAGGTTGCATCAGGAAGAGCATTCAGCATAAAATAATTGCCACATCTTTTATACAAAGTTGCCTACTGTGGAGACTCCTGAAGAAGGGAGCAGTCAAAAAAACTTAATATTTTAAGAAAAAAAATACTAGAAAGAAAATTTCCTCCAAAGATTGGGGTGGTCGGCTTACGTATAAATACTGTATGGTGATGGCTATCTTGGATTTTGATGTGGCAACCCAATTTTGAAAGAATATTTTCTTGTGCGGCAGCACGGTGGCGCAACTGGTAGAGCTGCTGCCTCTCAGCGAACAGGTCCCTGGTTCAAACCCCGGTCCAGGTGCCTTTCTGGGTGGAGTTTGCATGTTCTCTCCGTGCATGCGTGGGTTTTCTCCAGGTACTCCGGTTTCCTCCCACAGACCAAAAACATGCATGTTAGGCTGATTGGTAACTCTAAATTGTACCTAGGTGTAAATGAGAGAGTGAATGGTTGTTTGTCTCGTTTGTCTCTATGTGGCCCTGTGATGGACTTGCGACCCGTCCAGGGTGTACCCCGCCCCTCGCACAGTGATTGCTGGACATGGGCACCGGCGACCCCCGTGACCCAAAATGGAATAAACGGGTAAAGAAAATGGATGGATGGATGGATGGATTTTCTTGTGCCTAAATGCAATGCCTAAATGCAACCACACACCAAAGTGGAAGTTACTACTTTCCTTATTTTTCGAGTTCTCATGCTCACAACGTGCACGGGTGGAGGGTATTTCCAATTCCCCCTCTTAGATCTGTGAAGGAGGACATTTAGTGGACACTAAGGCCAGGGCAGGGGCAGCTGTGGCTGACTTGTTAGAGCAGTCATCCTACAATGGGAGAGTTGGGGGTATGATTCCACTAGCAGTCACATGTTGAAATGTTCTTGGGCAAGACACACTTCATAGCCTTCAATGTGTGTCCCATCAGTGTATGAATGTGATCTAAAGCTCTGATTAGTCTCTACAGATTCAGGTTATCTTTGTAGAGATGTAGTAGAGTGCTGTATGAATGTGTGCGTGTGGAGGTAAATGAGGGCACAGATTGTGCTGTAAAGAGCTTTGAGTATCTTGATTAGACAGAAAGGTGCTATATGAGTACAGTCTATTTAGCATTTATGGTAGTGGGGTCATCATCCGATGTGAAGGGTGCCTTAAATGCATTTAAGGCACCCTTCACATTGGATGATGACCCCACTACCATGTTAACAAAACTTACAGTAAATGGATGGTCTTTGAAGGGTCTTGGCGAGGTCTTCTTTAGGGCCATATTAAGAACATTACTCATTCTGTGTGGTTGATTGATAGGTTGTGATGATTTTGAGCATGCATAAGACTTCTGTACAAAAATCATAGTTGTTTATCGTTATGGTGGCCCATATCAGAGTCCAGGGTGAAACATGGAGAAGCATGCAAAAAAGTTAAGTCAGGCCCTCTGGATGGATTCTTCATGTTGAAATGAATCGACTTTTATCCATGAGACTTCATCAGTCTGAGGAGCTGCAATAAATTCTCTTATAAGCAGCACCTTCACATAGTGGATCAACCAGTTTGTTAGTGACAGCTAAAACTAGCTGTTCACATAATAAAGGAGGGCCATCAGCCTCACGACCGATTGTTAGTGCCCTGATGGCCAATTGCTACTCACAGATAAAGATGGGATGAAGGTGGGCACATCCTTGAAAGAGAGGAATGTTGGTTTGAAAGAGGAATAAAGGAAGTCATCTTTGTGAAAAGAAACCATACGTAAACAGGGGCGGAGGTCTCCGTGTCCAACTATCCTCCTCTTACAATGTTGTTATTGTCAGTATCACTCAGACCTCTGTGAATAGCAAGCGGTCATCAGGGCACTTCTTCTTCTTTTTCTTTTGGCTTTTCCCTCTTCAGGGGTTGCCACAGCATGTCATCCTTCTGCATCTCACTATGTCCTCTGCATCCTCTGTCCTCACTCCAACTACCTCCATGTCCTCTCTAAGTGCATCCATATATGTTCTCACCACAGATCATAATGTTGTCTGCAAGCACAGTCCACAGGGATTCCTGCCTGACCTCATCTCTTGGTCAGTCCACCACCAGAGCAAATAAGAAGGGGCTCATAGCAATCCTTGACACAATCCCACCTCCACCTTGAAGCTATTTGTCACTCCTACAGCACATCTCACTACTGTCCTGCTATCCTCATACATGTCCTGTACAGTCTAACATATTTCTCTGACACTCTAGATTTCCTGAAAGCAAATATAGGATCTGTGGTGCTCTATCTCGACATGAAATCATACTATTGCTCACAAATAGTCACCTCTCGTCTGTCTAGCTTTCACAACTCTCTCCCAGATCTTCATTGTGTGACTCATCAACTTAATTCCCCTGTAGTTGCTACAACTCTGTACATCACCCTTGTTCTTAAAAATGGGCACCAGCACACTTATTCTCCATTCCACACACATTTTCTCACCCTCAAATATGCCATTGAATATTTGAGTCAAAAACCTCACTGCCATCTCTCCAAGACATTTCCAAAATTCCCCTGGTATGTCATCAGGTCCTACTGCCTTCCCCTTTTTCAAAAAAGTGTTCAGTACAAAAAAAAATGGACTTTATTTGTAACAGAAGACGTTTCGCTCCTCATCCGAGGAGCTTTCTCAATTCAAAGAGCAGTGAGTGAGAGATTCAGGTTATAAGGCTGAGTGAGATAAGACACACACACATATGTAGAATGGCAATTCACACCTAAACACCTTAACAGTGAGTCTTTTGTTACTCTAATTCACAGACGAGGCCCTCTGTTCCCATCAGGTGTGAAAACTGGCTGGGAATCTGTCTTAAAGTTGCATTATATGTTTTTGAAAGTAGAAATCTGAGGCCTCCTCCTCTGTTAAGAGATGGCTTTTCTCTTTTTACATAAATTGCTTCCTTCACCCCCCTCTCAAACCATATGTGTTCTTGGTCCAAAATGTGCACATTTTGGTCCTCAAAAGAGTGTCCCTTATCTGTAAGGTCGAGGTGAACAGCTGAATCTTGTCCAGAGGAGGTGGCTCTCCTGTGTTGAGCCATGCATCTGTGAAGAGGCTGTTTAGTTTCTCCAATGTAGAGGTCTGGACAGTCCTCGCTGCACTGAACCACATACACAACACCACTCTGTTTGTGTATGGGTGTTTTGTCTTTAGGGTGGGCCAACCTCTGTCTGAGAGTCCTGTTGGCTTTGAAATGTACTGGGATGTTGTGTTTGTTGAAAATCCTTCTGAATTTCTCTGATACTCTAGCAACATAAGGGATGACAATGTTTTTCCGTCTGTTGTTCTGCTTTTTCAGTGAATGATTGTTTGTCTCGTTTGTCTCTATGTGGCCCTGTGATGGACTTGCGACCCGTCCAGGGTGTACCCCGCCCCTCGCACAGTGATTGCTGGACATGGGCACCAGCGACCCCCGTGACCCAAAATGGAACAAACGGGTAAAGAAAATGGATGGATGGATGGGTTCTGCTTTTTCTGTTTATTAGTGTGTTTTGTAGATTT